AAGGTAGATGGTAAGTCGGTTAATATTACCCATATGAATGGTACTATGAGTGAGTCCGTCACTTACACATATGGCAGTTACTAAGAGAAACTGCGCTACTTACCCATATGGTTGGTACTAAGCATAAGACCATTACTTACCCATATGGTTGCTACTAAGAGTAAGGGCGTTACTTACCTACATGGTTGTACTAAGAGGAAGTGCGTTACTTCCCCATATGGATAGTACTAAGAGTAAGTGCGTTACTCACCCATGTGGTTGTGACTAAAAGTAATTGCACTACTTACCCATATGGTTGGTACTGAGCGTAAGAGCATTACTTACCCATATGGTTTGTACTAAGAGCAATACGTAACTTATCCATGTAGATGGTACTAAGAGTAAGTGCGTTACTTACCCATATGTTGGTACAATGAATAAGTGCATTACTTACCCATATAAATTGTACTAAAAGTAAGTGTGTTACATACCCATATGGTTGGTACTAAGAGTGAGTGCGCTACTTACCCACATGGTTGGTAAAAAGCGAAAGAGCCTTACTTACCCACCAATATGGCTGGTACTAAGAGTATGTCTGTTAGTTACCCATATGGATGGTACTAAGAGTAAGTGCCTTAGTTACCCATATGGTTGGTACTAAGAGTACGTACGTTACTTACCCATATATATTGTACTAAGAGTAAGTGCGATTATTACCCATATGGTTGGTACCAAGTGCGTATTGCACTTACTCTTAGTACGAACCATATCGATGGTACTAAGCGCAACTGTGTTACTTACTGATATGGCAGGTAGTTATCGTAAGGCATTACTTACCCAAATGGTTGGTACTAAGAGTAAGTGCGTTACTTACCCATATGGTTGGTACTAAGAATATGTGCATTACTTACACTTATAAATTGTACTACGAGTTTGTGCGTTACTTACCCAATTGGTTTGTACCCAGAGTGAGTGCGCAACTTACCCTCATGGTTGGTATTAAGGGTAAGAGCGTCACTTACCCACCCATATGGCTGGTACTAAGAGTAAGTGCGTTACTTACCCATATGGATGGTACAAAAAGTATGTGCGTTACTTACCCATATGGTTGGTACTAAGAGTAAGTGCGTTAGTTACCCATATATATTGTACTAATATTCAGTGCGTTGTTTACCCATATGGTTGGTACCAAGTGCGAAATGCACATACTCATAGTACAATCCATATGGATGGTAATAAGCGTAAGTGTGTTATTTACTTATATGGTTGGTAATAATAGTATGTGCGTTACTGGTACTAAGCGTAAGTGCGTTACTTACTCAAATGGTTGGTAGTAATAGTGAAATCATTACTTAACCATATAGTTGTTACGAAGAGTAAGTACGTTACTTACTCATATGATAGGTAGTAAGTGTAAGAGCGTTACTTACCCATATGGTTGGTACTAAAAGTAAGTGCGTTACATATCCATATATATAGTACTAAGAGTAAGTGCGTTATTTACCCATATGGGTACCAAGTGCGTAATGCACTTACTCATAGTATGAACCATATGGATGGTAATAAGCGTAAGTGCGTTACTTACCTCTATGGTTGGTAATAAGAGTAAGTGCATTACTTACCCATAGGGTGGGTACTAAGCGTAAGTGCGTTACTTACCCAAATAGTTGGCAGTAATAGTTAAATCATTACTTACCCATATGGTTGTTACTAAAAGTAGGTGCGTTACTTACTCATATGATTGGTAGTAAGTGTAAGTGCGAAACTTATGCATATGGATGGTTCTACGAGAAACCGCGTTACTGACCCATCTGGTTGGTAGTAAGCATAAATGCGTTACTTATCCATATGGATGGTACTAAGAGTAAGTGCATTACTTACCCATATAGTTGGTACTAAGAGTAAGTGCGATTCTTACCCATATTGTTGACAGTAAGCAAAAAGAGCATTACTTATCCATATGGTTGGTACTAAGAGTACTTGCGTTACTTACCCGTATGGATTGTACTTAGCGTAAGTGCCTTACGTGCCCATATGGCTGGTACTCAGAGTAAGTGCGTTACTTGCCCATATGGTAGGTACTAAGTGTAAATGCGTTACATACCCATATTTATGGGACTAAGAGCAATTGTGTTACGTACCCATATCGTTGGTACTAAGCGTAACTGCGTAACCTACCCAAATGGTTGGTAGTAATCGTAAGAGTATTACTTGCCAATATGGTTGGTACTAAGAGTAAGAGCGTTACTTACCCGTATGGATGGTACTAAGAGCTAGTGCGTTACTTACCCATATGGATGGTACTAAGAGCTACTACATTACTTACCCATATGGTTGGTACTAAGAGTAAGTGCTTTACTTACCCATATGGATGGTACTAAGAGTAAGTGCGTTACTTACCCATATGGATGGTACTAAGCATAAATGAGTACCCATATGGTTGGTACTAAATGTACGTGGGTTACTTACCCATAATGTTGGTACTAAGCGTGAGTGCGTTACTTATCCATATGGTTGGTAGTGAGCGTAAGTGCGCTACTTATCCATATGGTTGGTACTAAGAGTAAGTGCTCTATTGACCTATATGGTTTTTACTAAGTGTAAGTGCGTTACTTACCCATATGGTTGGTACTAAGCATAAAGGCGTTACTTTCCCATATGGTCGGTACTAAGAGTAAGTCCATTACTTACCAAAATGGTTGGTACTAAACGTAAGTGCGTTACTTACCCATATGGTTGGTACTAAGAGTACATGCGTTACTTACCCATATGGTTGGTACTAAGAGTAAGTGCGTTACTTACCCATATGGTTGGTACTACAATTAAATGGATCACTTACCCATATGGTTGGTACTTAGCTTATGTGCGTCACTTACCCAAATTGTTGTTACTAAAAATAGCTGTGCTACGTTCCCATATGGCTGGTACTAAGAGTAAGTGCGTGACTTACTCATATGGTTGGCACTAAGCGTAAGAGCGTTACTTACCCATGTGGCTGGTCCTAAGAGTAAGTGCGTTACTTACCCATATGGTTGGTACTAAGATGAAATGCGTTACTTGTTGAATGCACATCATTGTGAGTGCATGTCATCCTAATGTCCTGCCGAGTGCTCAGGTTATTCATGCGTGCATTGCTTGCATGAGCATGTGTCATCGTGCATTGCTGTTGGATATGATCAACTCTGTGTTATTCTTCTTTTTTATATGCTTGATCATGCAGGAGAATCCAGAGCTTTCCAACGATACCAAGATCGCCTTACTACGACCAAGATCGCCCAAGACTTGGATTTCTTATTACATTTTAGGGTTATATCAAATTTGGGTGATTACTTGGACATGACTATAACGGGATCGTTGGGTGGTTAAGAAGCCAACTTTGACGTTGGATTAGGGTGGCTAGAAGTTTCTAGCATGGGTTACAAATGTTGCAACACCTATGCAAAATCCAACTAGATTGGATTTTGCATGTGACACCTCAAGGACCTCATGATGAGAGTTGCATCCTTGCTACTAGAAAGGTTCTTACTATCCTTCCCTAGCTCTTGGAGGACCTCATCCCTCTCATGGTTCTCTTGGAGTCCCCAACTCCAATTTTCTATGCCTCAATAATTGTACTTCCTCCACTACCATACGCATGTGCTACTGGACGTTTTCAGACCGTTCTCACTCTAGAGACAATCTTGACGACCGATTCAAATTCGAGATGGTAGCTAAAACTGTGGCGCACAATCTTAAAGAGCAGATTTGTGTTTATTTGGAAAACAAATTTGAAGTAAGTTCTCAAAGTGACGGATCCTGAGCAACATGTGGCATCAGAGCGGGTAGTCGATTTTGAGACGACAAAACGTCATCATTTCTCAACCAATGTTGACATGTGAGACCAGTTTCTAGTAGCTCTGCTTGCGAACGTTCGATTGGTGGTCGAATTGCGTTCGAATTCGCACGTCTTGAAGCCTCCAACCAGCAGCATCTCCTCCAGATTCTTGTACTAGGACCTGGGCGCTTGCTTAAGGCCATAGATAGCCTTCTTGAGCTTGCACACGCGGCTGGTCCCATCCTCATAGCTGTCGGGCTGTGCCACGTAGATTTCCTCCAGCAGCACTCCATTGAGGAATGCAGTGATGATATCCATCTGCTTCACGTACCATCCCTTCACAGCTGCGCCAACCAGCAAAGACTTCAATATCACTGGCTTAGCAATGGGAGCAAACATCTCCTTGAACTCGACCTTCTCTTTCTGCTGAAACCCCTTACCGACCAAGCGGCTCTTGAACCGCTACAACGCACCATGAGCTCCACTCTTCACCATGAAGACCCACTTGCTGCTGATTGGCCGTCGTCTCTCAGGTAACTCAATAAGCTCCCAAGTCCCATTATCAACGAGACTATTAAACTCCGCATCCATAGCAGCCTTCTACTCCTTCTGGGGTCCACTCAGTGCCTCCTCTAATGTGGTTGGTTCTCCAGGCAGGGGTTTGAAGAAACAGAAGGCCATCTCTGGGTCCTCTCCCTCATCCGCCTGAACCGCCATAGCACGTTGCTTGGGTCCTCCCAAAGGCGTTGCCACTCTCTTCTTGCGGGTTGCAATCTGCTGCTTATGTGATGAAGCAACTCTTTACACACTCCTCTTGGTGACCTTGGCCAATGCTGTAGGCTCGGGCTGAGATCGTGAGTCCACACATGCCGACTCATCCACCAACCCCTCCTCCGTAGCAGGACCAGCAACTTGCTGCTCTCCACCGCCACTATGGTCACTGTTCAGCTCTGACCCAGGGAGATCCTCAAGGTGCACCTGAACCTCCTCCACTACATACCGCTCAATCTCTTGCAGACGCAAGCCAATCTGCACCTGCTGCTGATGCTGCCAGTCCTTCTATATGACGTCCTCCACAAACTTGACGTCACGGCTGACCAGCGTCTTCTTGCTCTTGGGGTCCCACATCAGCCACCCCTTTGAGTCAAGAGCCATCCCAAGATGGACAGCCCACACAGCAGCAACTCCCAGCTTTTGCCTTTGCTCGTTAGGCACCATCCCAGGTAGCCGACGCCTTCTCCGCCGCGCTTCCTCCAATCGGCTCCTTTCCTTGCACACCCTGCTGCTCCTCCTCGGTGACACTCTCCTCCATAGATGCCGCAGCTGCCGCCTTGCCCGAATTCGGCCAAGGGAGGACCAGGATCTGCCATATCTGCTTGTGGACATCCCCTTTGCGCTGCAGGTCCCAAATCAGCCGCTCATCGTTGAATGCACGATAGCTCTCCGAGCCAATCATCTCGGTGTTCACACCTACATCTCCCAATCCACCGGTAGAAATCAGGTCCGCGCGAGGAGTCATGTGCCAGGAGCTTTCTCAGTCAATCACCCAATGGGTCAGGGGGTGTGGGAGAAACTTGGCAGCATGGCGGGGTCGGTTGCACATTCATTCACGAAGAAGAAGAGCCGGGCCTTTCGCTCCTCAGATTTGCCGCCTTGCTCCTCATCCTTCTCCTCTCCACTAGCTCCAATGACTCCTCTTGACACCCGCATCTCCCAATCGGCTGGTAGAAATCAGGTTCGCGCACGAGTCCGGCACCCATAGCACGTTCTTCAAGGCCACGATCTCTCCATCCGCTCCCATGAACTTGGCCTTTCCCATGCCCATGACCTTGACCTTGGCGCCAGTCGCGGATGTGACCGTAGAGATTGGTGAGGGCAAAATTTTATGGAGTAGATCCGCACGACGAGTCATGTACCAGGAGCTTTCTTGAGTCAATCACCCAATCGGTGAGAGGGTGTAGGAGAACCTTGGCAGCCATGGCGGTGTCGGTTGCACCTTCATTCACGAAGAAGAACCCGGCCTTTCGCTCCTCAGATTTGCCGCCTTTCTCCTCATCCTTCTCCTCTCCACTAGCTCCAATGACTCCCCCACTCCTCTTGCCACCATGATGGTTGCTTGATGAAGGCGGGGTCCAATCCTTAGGCCGTTGGTAGCACTTCCTCCAACGATGTATGCGCTTCTTGCAGTAGAAGCACACCTCCCCTTGGCCCCCGCCACTATCCTCCTTGGGGTTGTCCTTGTTCTTGCCTTTCCACTTCTTCTTGAAGCCGCTCTTTCCACCTCCAACTCCATAGCCAACCCTCTCCTTTGAGCGCTCCATAGTCCAGTGCTGTAAGTCCTCCTCAAGGATGCGCACTTGGATGTAATTTACGCTCCATTGGGGCTGTTAAGAGTTGAGGTTGATGGAAAGGGCAGACCACAACATTGGCAGCCGTATCACGATCCCCCCACATCGCACAAGCTCCGGGTACACCACACTGCCGCGTTGGAGCTTTAAAAAGATGTCCCGCATCTCATCCAAGACCGGTTGCATCGGCTCTCCATCAACGAATTTGATGTTGCGCGCCGTGTGAGTACCACGATGCCGGTAGCGTGTGTTGGTAAGTGCACATCCAGAAGCTTCCTCCAAGCTTTGGAGCCACACTCTGGATCACCCAAGAGGTCCTTGATGTGGTCAAGTTGTCGTCCGCCAACCGCTTGCACCAAAAGCATGTACGCGTTAAACGATCGCTTCATCCACACCCCGTTCAGTTTTGCGGCCTCCGGCACCTTGTCCTTCCCCTCCACCAGATCTAATAGCTTGTATTGGGTGTACATGAGCCTCGTGCGGAAGCTCCAGTGCTCGTAGTCCTCCCTCATGATTTTTTCAATCGAGAAAGCCTTCACAGGATCCACGGTTGTTGGAGATGGTGCAGTAGACGTAAAATAGCGTATGGTTGGTTGGTTGGTGAGTTCCCACTCCACCACCAGCAACTCCCCCCTGCTCTCCAGCCTCTCTACCTCTAGCCATTAGCACCTCTAGAGTCCGTATTAACCATATTGAGGCCTCATGAACGGTGGAAACTTGATAAATCGTTTGCAGCGAACTCTGCCAGAAATTTCGATTCTACAAACATGGCCGTCGCGAATTGGATACAACTTGTTTCTACTTCTGGTGTATGTCGACGACATACTGCTGTTCTCACCTTCCATGGAGCAGATTGAGAGGACAAAGAAGCTGCTGATAGACAACTTCAAGTGCAAGATGCTGGGAGATGTCCATTACTACTTGCGGATGCAGATTGAGAGGGATGTTGAGAGGAGATGGCTGAAGGTTCATCAGTCACACTTCATCTATGTTGTGATGGAGCGCTATGGTGTGACTGAGAGTTATACTGTGAGGACACCATTCCCTACAGGCTTCAAACTGAAGAATGCAACCAAGGAGGATGATGTACTCGAGGATGAGCAGCAGAATGACTACCAGGCACTCATTGGGAGTGTGATGTATGCTGCTGAGCATACGCAACCTGATGCTTCATTCAGCGGCCCACCGAGGAGCAGTTGGAGGCGGCAAAACGCATGGTGCGCTACCTTGGATCAACGACATCTGCTGGTGTTTCGTATTCTGCTGGTGGTCAGCTGAAACAGTTTGGAGCAGATGGGATCACTCCTGGAACCTTGAAGTTGTCGTGCTTCACAGATGTTACGTGGGCCTCGGAGGAGGATGAACACTCATCTGTGGGTGGCTTTGTCTGCTTGGTCGGAGGTGGACCAATTAGTTGGAGGTCCAAGAAGCTGAGTGAGATTGCTCGGTCTTTGCTAAGGCAGTGTACATTGCGATGTACCATGCCATCGAGGAAATTGTGTTCCTAAGGAAGCTGCTGGAGGACATGGGAGCTGAACAGAAGGGACCTACACCACCTTTCTCCGACAGCGAGGCTGCTATTGGAATGGCCACAAATCCTATCTTGAATGGGCTGAAGAAGCACATGGAGATCAAGTGGCACTGAGTGAGGCAGATGGTGAAGGAGGGAATTGTTGAGCTTCATCATGTGAAGGTCAATAAGCACGCGGCAGATTTTCTTACCAAGAGGCTTACCTAGAGCGCACATTGGAAGTGTGCGAAGATGTATGGCATGGCATTGCAATAGTGTGGGCAGCAGTGTCATGCGTGCATGTGAGTGTGCATGTGAGGTTGCATGCATGTGAGTGTGGGTGCATGCAGTCCGTTAGTCTTAGGGGGAGTTTGTTGAACGCACGTCAGTTTTGAGTGCATGTCGTCCTTACGTCCCGCCGAGTGCTCGTGCTATTAATGCGTGCATTGTTTGCATGAGAATATATCGCTATTCATGGCTGTTGGGTTTTATTATCTCTGTGTTTTTCTAAAAGTCTACATGCTTTATCATGCAGGAGAAATCCAGAGCTTTGCAACGATACCAAGATCGCCTTATTCTGACCAAGATCGCCTTATTCTAACCAAGATCCCCCAAGGTTCAAGATTTCGAAGTTTTGGGAATTCTATCTCATTTTGGGATAGTATCTAAGTTGGGCGATTATTGTGACATGACTATAAAGAGATCTTAGATTGGATGGTTAAGAAGGCAACTTTGACTTTTGTATTGGGGTGGCTAGAAGTTTCTACCATGGGTTGGAAATGTTGCAACACCTAGGCAAAATCCAACTAGATTGGATTTTGCATGTGACACCTCAAGGATCTCATGATGAGGGTTGCATCTTTGCTGCTAGGAAGGTTTCTACAATCCTTCCCTAGCTCTTGGAAAACCCCTTCCCTTCTCTTAGAGTCCCCAACTCCAACTTTCTATGCCTAAATATTTGTACTTCCTCAACTACCATCTTAACAGGTGATATAAATTGCAGATGGTAGCTAAGACTATGGTGACAATCCTAGTAAGCGGATTTGCGTTTTGTTGAGAAATGAATTCATAGTAAGTTCTCAAAATGACAGATCCTGATCAGCATCAGTACCACCCATATGTGTAAGTAACGACTTACTCTTAGTACCATCCATATGGGTAAGAAACGCACCTACTCTTGGTACCAACCATATGAGTAAGTAATGCACTAACGCATAATACTAACAGTTTGGGCAAGTAGCACACTTACGCTTAGTACCAACCATATGGGTAATTAACGCACTTAATCTTAGTACCATCCATATGGATAAATAACGCGCTTACTCATAGTAACAACCATATGGGTAAGTAACGCACTTACTGTTGGTATTATCCAAATGGGTTAGTAACGCACTTACCTTAAGTACCAAACGCACTTACGCTTAGTATCTTCCATTTGGGAATGTAACGCACTTACGCTAGTACCAACCATATGGGTAAGTAACGCACTTACTCTAAGTACCATCCATATGGGTAAGTAACGCACATAATGTTGGTTCTATCCAGATGGGTAAGTAATGCCATATGTGTAAATAACGCACATACTCCTAGTAACATCCATATATGTAAGTAATGACTTACTCTCAGTAACATCCACATGGGTAAGAAACGCACCTATCTTGGTACCAACCATATGGGTAAGTGTGAAAAAATGAGGAATGGAATGACTAAGGAAAATTTGGGTACAAGTGAGAAACCTAAAAATGTTGTACCCTATAGTGTCTACCCCACTACAGCCTAGATAGACCATAGCATATTAGTTTGACACACCCCCATAGGCAAAGTGGGGGAGAACAAGAGGTCACAAGACCAGTCAAGCAAAGCAAAGCAAGCTCAGGGTGGATCACAACGTCACCACACATTCCGAGCACAAGTTCAAGGCCACAAGGCCAGTTCACATGCAAGATCATATATAAAGGTAAACAAGCAAGTGCAGGTATAGAAAGATCACAGTACAAGCAAGGTCAAGAAGTGAGCAAGTGAGGCCAAGTAGGTACAAGACCTAGCATTGTACAGAAGCGCTGATGATCACAAGGCGCAAGCGCCTTGGTAAAGATATCAGCAGTGTTGGCCTCAGAGGCCACGTAAGCAAGGCGCAACTGACCACGCTGCTGCAGCTCACGAGCAAGGAAGTAGCGAAGAGCAATGTGCTTCGTTTTGTGCTCAAGTCTGTGCTCTCGACACAAGGCCAGCATGGCCTTGTTGTCTACGTACACAACTGGAGGAGAACGAGGCGGCTCTCCTAGGTCAGTCAGCAGGTAGGTGAGCCAGCGTAGCTCCTGTGCAGCCATGGCCCCGGCGTAGATCTCAGCCTCACATCTGGAGCCGAGAACAGAAGACAAGCGGGTAGACCGCCACGAAACAGAGCCGGAACCAAGGCTGAAGGTGTAACCCTGTGACGACCGCTGCGTAGCCTGGTCGTCAGCCCAAGAAGCGTCTTTGTGACCTTTGAGGACCACTCGACGTCGCCCTCCAAGCACTAGCCCCATGCCTGACGTACTGCACAAGTAGCGCAACACCCTCTTAGCTGCAGCCATGTGCGCTGGTCGATGTCTCCCAAAAGCAACATAGCGTGCCAAGATGCTAAGAGGGTATGCAAGGTTAGGTCGTGTGCAGGTCATCGAGTACATGAGGCAACCAACAAGCTCTGGGTACGGGCCACTCGGCTCTACGGACTCATTCGAAGGCAGAGCTGAGAGCGAGTGGCGAGTAGACAGAGGAGTGGCCTGAGGCGAGGAGTACGTGAAGTCGAAGCACTGAAGGACCTGCTGCACCATGTGTGACTAAGTCTGGGTAATGGTGCGCTGTGCTCTGTCCCGGATGATCTGCAAGCCAAGGTAGCTGCGCAGTTCACCCAGGTCTGTGCACGTGTGTCTCTTCTGCACCTCGGACTTCACGTGGGCGAGTCCAGCAGTGTCAGCTGTGGCAAAGACCAAGTCGTCGACGTACACGAGGATGTAGAACGACGGCAAAGAGGTGTCGGTGCGCAGAAAGAGCGATGGGTCAGCAGTTGAAGGAGCAAACCCAAGAGCCGCAAGTGTAGTCCTCAGTGTGTCTTGCCACTCACAAGGCGCCTGGCGGAGACCGTAGACTGGCCGCCGGAGGCTCCACTGGGTACCAGGGGGAAACGACCCAGTGAAGCCAGGAGGGCGGCGCAGCCAGATCTCCTTGAGCAGGCTGCCCTGAAGGAAAGCAGTGCTAAAGTCAAGACAGTGAAGCTCGTAGTTGCGCTGAGCGGCTATGTGTAGCAGCACCCAAAGAGTGGTCATCTTCGGGGTGGGAGAGAAGGTCTAAAAGTAGTCAACTCCCTGCCGCTGACTGAAGCCTCGAGCCACGTAGCGCGCCTTGAAGACAGGCGGAGAACCCGACGGCCGCTTCACCCTGAAAATCCACATGCCACTGACGATGTTCGCCCGAGGTGGGGGAACCTTGTCGACGTAGGTGCCTGTGGACTTCCAGGAAGCCATCTCTGCGTCCATGGGTGACTACCACTGAGAGGAGTAGGGACCCTCGATCGCCTCAGCGTACGATCGAGGAGTCGGGATGTCTGGTGTATCCGGGTCTCCCTCAGGGGCAATCAGCGTGGACACGAGATGAGGCAAAGCAGTAGCAAATCATTGGAGCTCCTCCTGCCTGTTCTCAAGGACGTCCGTGCTAAGATCACACTCACCCCTGACGGACGGAGGACAGACAGACTTAGACTTGGCAACAAGACTCGCATTGTAGTCTAGACGACAGCGAGCAGCAAAGTCAACAAGCTCAGCAACTAAGGCAGACGCAGCAATGGACTCAAAGGAAGGGTCAGTGACAACAGTAGCCAGGAGACGCATGACAGTAGGAGTGGCAGCACGGCGAGAGTCAGACTCCGGGTTAGCAAGGACTGGAAGAGAGGACTCTGGAGGAGACGGCAACGGGAAACGT